AAAAAAAAAAAAAAAAATTATATGTTGATACAATATTGTTACCAGACTTCCCTGGTGGCGCAGTGGTTAAGAATATATCTGCCAATGCAGGGGACACGGGTTTGAGCCCTGGTCCGGGAAGATCCCACATGCCACGGAGCAACTAAGCCCGTATGCCACAACTACTGAGCCTGCGCTCTAGAGACCACAAGCCACAACCACTGAGCCCGCGTGCCACAACTACTGAAGGCAGCGCGCCTAGAGTCCATACTCCACAACCAGAGAAGCTGTCGCAATGAGAAGCCCACGCACCGCAACGAAGAGTAGCCCCCGCTCACCAAAACTAGAGAAAGCCCGTGCGCAGCAACAGACACAGCGCAGCCAAAAATAAATAAATAAAATAATTTATAAAAACTATATATATTGATACCACTCAGCAATAAAAAGAAACAAACCACTGATAGACACAACATGAATGAATCCCCCAAATATTACACTGTGTCAGCGTAGCCAGGCATAAAAGAGGGCACTCTGGCTCCACTGGTATGAAATTCTAGAATATATAAAACTAATCTCTAGTTACAAAAAACAGAATAGTTCCTTTTCAGGAGGGTGGACTTACCGGAGAGGGGCAATTGGGAATATAATGGGGTGACAGAAATGTTCTAGGATCTTATTTGGGGTTGTAGTTACAAAGGTGGTTACACATTTGTCAAATTCATGGAATGTACGTGTAAAATCTGTGCTCTTTATTTTATGTAATTATTCCTCCATTAAAATAAGGGTTTTTTTTAAAGGACAGGTAAAAGCATCATATAGTCACAAGCCACTGTGGACATCAGCTCATACCTTAAAATGCATGTAGTCACTGCCCCCTGTTCACACACGTCAGCAATCTATACACCAGTATTCTCAGCTACTGGCCCTGATGCATGAAAAAAGAGCCTGATTTTTTATGAAGGGCAGGAGAACGGGCAACACACACAGCATACTCTCATTCTTAAGAGTCATCTAATCCACTCACCCCCATTATAAATGATGCAGTTGTGCAAAATCCATTTTGCATCAGCCAGGAAGGCTTCTGTGCAGCCATACATTTTCTTTTTAGCGTTCTGGGAAGAAAAGCCACAGAAAATAATCACCAGTGAGTCTCTATAAGCCACAACCAGTAACACCTGCGTCCCCACACAATTTTCTTAGCAGTCATTTGCCAAATTAATGAATGCTTCTACTCATTTCCCAAGATGCTATTATAGTTGAGATCTATAACTCTATAAAAATGCATTCACTGGATACACCACACTAACTTGAATTTTCTCATCTTAGAGCACTGCCATTTATCAAGCAGCTTCTTCCACCAAACCGGGATATTTTACATATTTACACATTTATTATTAACTGTACAGCCTCACATAAGCCTCATAATTGAAAACTCAAGGAAGCAGTCACTATCCCCATTTTACAGACAGGGAAACTGAGGTATGGTAATGTTAAAGGAACCAATCAAAGTTCCAAAGCTAATAATTTAGGAAGCCAGGATTCCAACCTTGTCTTTTTGGAATTCCTTCTTTTGTTTAATACCATAAGGGTGTGTGCAATTTTCCAAAGCAGGCTGGATTTACTATTTTGGGGATCCTCAATGCATACAATATAAAGTAAGGTTTTCTCCTCATCCACGCTTTTCTTTAACCATATTTTGGTGCCAGCAATTTGAAAATCAGCACCAGGATGACATACACAACCTAGAATGTTACATGTGTAATTTTTCAGCATGGTTTGAACCTTTAAAAATACTTTCAGGCATTAAAGAAATACTCTTATCAGTGACATAAGTCAAGATCTAAGAAGCCACTAATTCACTGCTAACATGAAGGTCTCCCAGACACTTAATTTTCTCTTCTTCCTTCCTGCTGCTCTTATTAGCACCTCCAAAAGAAAGAGAAGGGTAAGGCTCAAATCAACCAACTCACTAATTCTTAGAAGCTGTGACTTTCTCATATAAAAAGCTTGAATCACCAGCAGAAGTATAATACTATTTGGAGCTAAGCAGTGGATTTCAACACCCATTGCAATCCTTGGGAAAATGTTACAGAAGTTAGGGGAATAAGAGTTCTTCCATCCAAATAAAAATGGCACAGAACCATCTAACTCGAGATGGGGCACGGGAAGTGAGGGAGGATCTTTAATCATCTTGACAATTGGCTTTTTGATGGAAGCCAACCTTTTCCAATGTACAAAGGTCCATGGGATGGAAGATGTATTCCGCATAGTCGGGATGCTGTTCCAACGGAACGGGCTTCTGGAATGCATCTGTCTATAAAAGAAAAGATGCACATACACAGACACAAACCCATCACTGCTATGGAAGACCAAGCATTAATACCAGCAATGTACTTTAAAACTGAGACAACTTTCCAGAAAATACAGTTCTAAAACTTTCTACAAAATAGGCCCTTGAGAAGCGCCAAACTGGTTCACCTTCAAATTCTGCCTGGTTATCCATAATCATGGGCCCAGCTGTGTTCCAGTTTTGTCATTTGTTTTGTTTTCAGTACATACTCAAGTAACAGGTCCAGGCCTCTTCAATTAAGACAGACGCTATCATTACTTGAGACCTGAATTCTGAAGGAGGCTTATCTATACACTGAAAATGCCCATAATCAAAACTGACTGGGGGTGAAATCTGGCTACACCTAGAGATGACACACCAAATAAAGTTCCCCTAAAGTGCCAACAGGTATCTTACACATGCGCAGAAATTTTAGTGAGGTTTTGCTCCTCCATTGAGGGGCCAAATTATTTTCAAAGCAGGGACTGTGTGGGGACTTCCCTGGCTGTCCAGTGGTTAAGACTCTGCGCTTCCAATGCAGGGGGGCGCATGTTCGATCCCTGGTCAGGGAGCTAAGATCCCACAGGCCACGTGTCACAGCAAAAAAAAAACCAGAAACAAAACAAAAACAAAACAAAGCAGGGACTGTGTAAAGGTTTTGTATCTTGATCCACTTTCTTATGGAGTGATTAAGAATCAGTTCAAAATGCAAGGCCTGCTTTGTTGATGGATACTATTTGCTTATCAATAAAAAAAAAAATCTAAAAGATTTCATTAAACACCAAATTATGCTCAAGCAAGGCATCTGAATGGATTACCATTTGCAGTCATCCAAGCTCTCTCTCTGGCCATTTTTAAGTTAAAAGGATGCTTCCACATTAAAAATCAGCAACTTTCTGTTCTGATTTTGTAACAAACGATTTACATAAGAAATTAACACCTTCTTTGATTTTTCTTTTTGGTTTATAATTAATTCCACAGTGTTGACAAATCTACATGAATCAATTCTCATCAGAGTTTGTTTTTTTGCAAAACTTAGGCTATATACTTTTGCTTCCATTGACAGAGATTTTGTGAGAGACAGGTTCTCAATTTAGCAACCCCCCAACTGGCATGCTCTGAATTTTTTTCATCATATCAAATTTCAGAATATAATCTCAAAACTAAAGCTTCTACTTTTTTTAAAGAAATTAAACCACAATGGCTACTAAAAGCACTCAGAATCTACATTTCATACATTTATTTGACTTAGAAAGCAACTCTGAAGAGTTTCACGAAGGGTCACCACTAGCCCATATGGTGCCTTTGTGTAAATCAGAAAAGAACCCTACCCAAGAACCCAAGTTTCCATAGGAAAAATGTCATAACATGTTGATTATCTTGTCATAACATTTTGTTTTGTTTTGTTTTGTTTTTTGGCGGTATGCGGGCCTCTCCCATTGCGGAGCACAGGCTCCAGACACGCAAGCTCAGCGGCCATGGCTCACGGGCCCAGCCGCTCCGTGGCATGTGGGATCTTCCCAGACCGGGGCACAAACCCGTGTCCCCCACATCGGCAGGCAGACTCTCAACCACTGCGCCACCAGGGAAGCCCATAACATATTATTTTTAAAAACAAGGTATTTTACTGCCATCTTTCTGAAACCTGTCACAAAAAACTACAAAACCACCATCACAGCTATGATATGACTGGGACTTCTGGGAGGGAAACCACGGAGGAGTACACCGTGGCTTGCCAGCTGAACATGGCAGGCCTGCTTTCACATATAGATTTCCCTTAAAGGGCAAAGGCTGTACATCAAATCCCGTTTCAAAATTCTCACCCTTTACAGGAATCTCACTGGTTGAGTTTTACCTGAAGGTTCCACCATTAGGCCTTGATTACCAAGAAACTGGGTTGTACTCAGCTCTCTCACTGAAATGGAATTCTACTGACTCCCCCTTACCCGATATGGTCTGAGGTTTCACTTCTCAACCACTCAGAATTTTAAATCCCCACCAGCTTTCTAATATATGTCATTTCCTGATTAAACTCCTTGGTCTCACAAAGTGCTCACTTTTGAGAATTAACTTAATGCCGTTGTCAAATTTAATTTACAGGTATCTGAATCTGGGCACACAAGACCCAAAGAGTAGTAATAAGCACAGGTGTCTGAAAAGCTAAGGCAACTACAAGGAACAAAAAATGGTAACAGAACAAAGGTCACTTATTCTCATTCACACTTATAACAAGAGGAAGCGTCATCTTACCCCTGGCTGTTTCATTTTCTGAATGGCGAACTTGAGCAGGTAGGATAACTGTTCAATGGTGAGCATTGTCATGGCTTTACTCTGAGTCTCGATGCATTCTGCTACTGTAATCTTCTACGAATCAAAATCACACGAATATCCAGTTAGAAAAAAAAAAAATTATGATCCCACGTACTCATTTCCCTTTCCTCCTAATTTTCCAGTAAGTTCACAAGTAAAAAAATAATTCCCATCTACATGAGACCAGTTGTTTCGCTTGACAAGCACTCCAATCTACTTGACCTGGGTGCCGGATCAGTGGATAAAAATTAAGAAGCACACCGATCCATCAATTAACTCATTAAGAACCGTTTTTTAGCTCATGTAGACAATATGATCTGAAAAAAGGGTGGGGTAGGCAAGGACCTGAAAAATCCACCATTGCTATAACCTTGGCTTTCAAGAATAGGACATGAAAGGCCACTGATGGTTTCAGGGTAATCTCTTCACACAATGGATCAGCCACTTTCCTTGATCCTCTTAAGGTTCTGGGCTATCTTTCAGGAAACTGACAAGGAATTAATCCAATGACATCACGGTTGGAAAGTGACAATCTTTCCTGCAGAAAGAATCCAAGGGATGGTAGTGAACTAATAATAAAAATGACTTCATTCTCCGTCACCACTGATGTGAACCCACTCAGGACATTCTGGCAAATTACCCACGGAGCAGTCTAGCTGTCTATCTCTGTGGGAAATAAATGTCACTTTGTAAGAGAAATTCCTATCAAAGACATGTCTGATACCAGATTCTGCTATGTAAATCTGGTACTTGATCTAAGAGCTTCGGAATCCTCAGATAACAGGAACAACAAAAATAGTAAATTCAGATGCTATCAGGAAACACTCTTGAACCATCTGTGTAGGGAGAGCTGAGAAAAGTTTTCTCCAATTAATTTGGATTTCGTTTCCATTCTTCACATCTCCAGATCCTCCAAAAGGAACTTCCAGGCGTGTCTGGTTGGTTGCTGAGAAAAAGGGCAACACAAGATGCGCTCATAAGCTGAAATCAGTCCATGACGCACGGATCTCATTGCTTAGCTACTAGAGCCGAAACAGCTAGTCTTCCCAGTTGACCACCTCACCAATTCACCACTAGAAGAAATTCAGGACTCTAAATTTTAGACATAGAATACCTGTCTGTCTGAATTCCAGTTCATTTCCAGGTTAACTATCCACACTCAATACTTCGGTCGCCCGCTCAACTGTCATTCACCTCTTCTCCCCCAGCCCTGGCCACGTCCTCCTGGTTGGCAATGGCCGGTTCCCACGATACAGACTGAAAGTACCGAACAAACATTTTTGAGCCTCTCCTGCATGGGGACTGGTGGTCCAATCCTGACCAATGAGCCCAAGGGCGTGTCAGCTGGAGGCTGATGGGCAAAGTCTTCTGCTTGATAAAAACAGGATTGAGAAGAGACACTCCACTCAGGGGGACTGTTATCTAGTCACACGTGATAAAACGCCCAGCAGCCACCTTACGGCCATGAGGGACACACTGCCTCAACAATGAAATGCAAAGAGTCTGGCTCTGAACAGACGCTGGCCTGGCCCTGCCTCTGGGTTCTTTCTACACACGATAATAAACCTCTCTGGTTTCAGCTGCCTTTCATCAAGATCTATTATTTACAGCAAAAGCATCCTATCTGAGCCACCATCTTCTCTGCGAAATTATTAAACAATTGGGAAGGGAAAGTCAAGACAAAAGAAAATAAATGAAGGTTCCAGTTCCCACATTAAATGCAGGATGAGTTCAGGCTCTGAACAGGAGGGCACTGATGAGCAATCTCTCCGTCTACAGGAACCCAAAGAAAACCAGTGACCATCTTTTGCAATTTCAGAGGCAGAACACCATTAAAATGTCATCATCATACTGACCTGGCCTCTACCTTCTTTCCATAGATTTTTGCTCCATCCACTACCCAAAAGCAGTACTACTGACACTGTCCTAAAGCTTGCTTTTTTCCCCACTATCAACAGCTGGGAGAGCTTTCCAATTCCTACACAGAAAGCGTCCTCGCGTTTGAGATCTAATGCCAATATACCTTTGAATCCAGGTGACATTCCATATTAAAGGATTTTGTAGATGACATTATTTGGGGTTTTTTTAATAAATCTATTTATTTATTTATGGCTGCATTGGGTCTTCGTTGCTGCGCAGGGGCTTTCTCTAGTTGCGGTTAGTGGGGGCTACTCTTCGTTGCGGTGCGCAGGCTTCTCACTGCAGTTGCTTTTCTTGTTGAGGAGCACGGGCTCTAGGCGTGCGGGCTCAGTAGTTGTGGCACGCAGGCTCTAGAGCGCAGATTCAGTAATTGTGGCGCACGGGCTTAGCTGCTCCACGGCATGTGGGATCTTCCCGCACCAGGGCTCGAATGCGCATCCCCTGCATTGGCAGGCGGATCCTTAACCATTGCGCCACCAGGGAAGCTCTGTTTTTGTTTTTAATTTGTTTTTGTTTTTGTTTTCTAGATGACATTCTTATTTTCAGCATTTTGAAAAAGCATCATAGTTGGAAGTTGCTGAGACTAGAAAACACTTCAGAAAAGTGGAAACCATGATAATTGTTTTCATGAAGAGCGTTTAGGCTTTGCTACAAATGAAATATGCACGTTCCCTTCACTATGCCCGTGTGCTTCTCCCTTGGGTTCTGTACCTGCAGCCCCCTCAGCCTGGAAGGCCGTCCCCCCATTGCCCCACGGCTCACTCCTTCCCTTCAAGTCTTTCCTAAATCTTAAGAGGACTTCCTGGACTTCGTCGTTTAAAATGGAAACACTCCGCACCCCCCTCACTCCCTATTCCTCACTTTCAATTCATTTTCTCCAGAACGTTCTTCTTCTAACACACGGTATACAACTTTATTGTGGTTTTTGTCCTTTTCTCCTGAAAAGAATGGGATTCAGGCCTCTTTTTGTTCACTGTTGAACCCCTAGTACCTAACAGGCACAGGAGAAACAGTTGTCGCGTGAATAAAAGCATCAGATGGCAACCACGTGGAACATACAACCAACACTGGTCTTCCCAGCTTAGCTACTGCTGATGATTCAATGATGCAGCAGGAGACAACATCCAAGAAGGAAGAAAATAGCGTGGGATCTCTTCAAAACATACAAACTTGTCAGAAGTTTAGAACTTATGGAATGTCCATTACAGGAGAATCAGAGAAGGTTGCAGATCTCAAAGTGATCCAAAGACCCATGAAGAATCAAAATCAATATTCAGTGCAGGTGATCTTCCTGGCGGTCCAGTGGTTAAGACTCCACACTCCCATTGCCGGGGGCGCGGGTTCCATCCCTGCTAGGGGAACTAAGATCCCACAAGCCACGCAGTGAGGCCAAAAAAAAAAAAATCAGTGCAATTGTCCTTCCAAGAGCTGCAGTGCTAAGGCCGTTGCCTATGTTGGTCCAAAAAAGGGGGTGACCAGGATAGAGCAGATCGAAGGCAAGAAACTTCTCTTTCCTTTGTGTTTGGATTAGTTGAAAATTTTGAAATAAAAGGAAGAAAAAGAAAGGAGAGGAAACGAGGCAGACAATGCATTCATTCAGCAGGCAGGAACTAACCTCACATTCAGGACAAAACCAGTCCCCCTCTGGTGTTCCGATGTGTCTCAGACACTTAGCGTGATAAACCCGGGGACAGAGCTCACAGCAAAGGACTTGGCCTTCCCGGTGACAAACCCAGCAGTAGAAATCATTTCGTCCATCCTGCGGTACAACATCAACAGGGTCTGTGGTGAGTGGCTGCTTCATATAGTAAAACGGACCATGTCTTAGTTCTGACTGAAATGTAGGCAAGAAAGACAGGTTTGGTTTCAAAACAAATGTGCATTCTCAAAAGGAATTTGAACAAATACATCAATAACAACAGAAGAAAATTAGAGCATTTCACACATTCATTAAAAAGCTATCCTGGGTTACTCTACTTGAGTTTGCGGGTCATTAGAGATTAAGATTTATTTTTCTTTCTTGTATTTTAAGAGGCCATGGATTGAAAAGCTGGTGTCTAAGAGTTAACGGGCAGCCCTAGCAGAATAGTACAATGGTTACAACCCAGGCACACCTGGGTTCAAATTTAGCTCTACCAGCTGCATGACCCAGGGCAAGTCTCTTAACCCCTCGGCTTCAATTTTCTCATCTGTAAAATGGGGATGATAATAACTAACATCACTGTATTGTGGCTGGAATTAAATGGGATCGTATAATGTATGCATTTAACACAGCGCCGCCATTACAAATATTGCTAATACGGTTAAAAGTCCAACAAATGGAAGTCTAAATGTACAAAGCCAAGAAAAGTATGGCAATTTCCCCTGGGAGTCTTTCAACAACAGGCCTTCGTCGAATAGATCCATTGGAAATGAGTCACCAAAAATGATCATTCATTTATTTTTTTAAGTCTACCCCCAATGCATAAAGTACTTAATAGCCAACAAGAGGCGTTCCTAAAACCATGATTCTCCAACATGGTAAGTCCTGGTGTTTGCAGAGAAGCCACATCTCCTACTGAGAACAAACGAAGAATGGCAGAAAGATGTGAGAGGGGGGTGGCCAATTCATGGCCAAAATAGCAAGAGAAATGGTCCCCTAGTGATGTACTATAGAATCCAGCAGAGCCACTCGCCGAACTCACACAACCGCTCGGAAGAAACTCGTTAGGAAAATGCCTACTGGAAACCAGTAAGAAATCCTGTTTAGGAAGTATGAGAAAGTCTGGTGGTTAAGTGTCAAAATGACCTGGTAACTGGCTGTGTGACCTTGAGAAAGCTACTCAACCCACTTTAGCCTTGATTCCATGGACAACAGCTCAGCCACAACCACAGGGACTACCTCTAAATAAACCTCCTTGTATAACAAGCGTTTTCCTGTCTTTCAGTAAGACATTACAGTTTCCTCCATAAAGATCTCATATATTGGTTAGGGGCTGCATAATTCTTGTTGCTACTGTGAATAGGACCTTTTCCAATTACAGTTTCTAAATAGTTATCGTTGGTATAGAAGCACTGTTAGATTTTTAACACTGACCTCATATACAAACAGCTCTGGTAGTTTATTGATTAAAAAATCTTACCATCTCTAAGTAACTTTAGTTTTATCTGTCCGTGTCTAATATTTTTACATCACTTTTCTGCTTTCCTTATTTTACTGACTAGGACCCCCAGGATAACAAGGAAGAGTGACCAAGATTGCAGGCACCCGTCTCGCTCCTGGTTCTTATTATGAAGTTTTGTTTTTGTTGTTTTTGTTTCTGTTTTTTGCGGTACGCGGGCCTCTCACTGCTGTGGCCTCTCCCGTTGCGGAGCACAGGCTCCGGACGCGCAGGCTCAGCGGCCACGGCTCATGGGCCCAGCGGCTCCGCGGCACGTGGGATCTTCCCAGACCGGGGCACGAACCTGTGTCCCCTGCATCGGCAGGCGGACTCTCAACCACTGCGCCACCAGGGAAGCCCTATTATGAAGTTTTGATGTTCTCAAAATGCCTGCTACTTCCACCTTCCTTGATAAAGAGCCTCACAGACGCTTATTTAGCAGTTCTTTGTGAACCAATCCTTCTAAGCCTCCCGACTCTCATTTCTACTAAGAAAACAGCTACGACTTATAAGGGCAATTGCACAATTCTTGAGCTTGGTTATTGCCCTGTTTCAGTTCAACATTTAAAACAGAGCGCTCTCCTTGGTTTCCAGAGAATTAACGTCATCGTTACGCTATTCCTTCCACGTTACGTTTTTCAACATACTGTCAACACACACCATCTTCATTTTCTCCTCACCATCACCAAGAGTGGTACTCAGGGGAGACACCACTTAGTCTTACCAGACAGATGAGAAAACTAGGTTAAAAAGACTTATCTGACCCCCAAGCCCAGAGCAAGGACTCCCACCCAGGTCTCCGAGCACTTTTTCTCGTTCCTGTGCCCCACAAAAGATGATGCAGGATGCAGAAGAGATTCTGATGATTAAGTGACCCCTCACAGAACATTCTCTGTCATCCAAAATAACTTCTGCTTAAACAAACTTACAGTTACCAGGGGGTAAGGGGGGGAGGGGATAAATTGGGAGATTGGGATTGACATATACACACTACTATATATAAAATAGATAACTAATAAGGACCTACTGTATAGCACAGGGAACTCTACCCAATACTCCGTAATGGCCTATATGGGAAAAGAATCTAAAAAAGAGTGGATATATGTATATGTATAACTGATTCACTTTGCTGTACACCTGAAACTAACACAACATTGTAAATCAACTACCCTCCAATAAAACTTTTTTAAAAATAATAACAACTTCTGCTTAATGCAAAAAGCTGGAGAGGAAAAAAAAATCTGAAAATTCGGAAGACAGCTAAAAACATAATAGAGGGGAACATAAAAAGATAACACCATCTAGAGCAAGGAGTTCTCAACTCATATGACATCTTGGGCCAGAAAATTCTTTGTTGCAGGGAGCTGTCCTGTGCACTGTAGGATGTGTAGCATCATCCTTGGCTAGATGCCGGTGGCAGCCCCCCTACCCCCCATGTCAGAAAATTATGACAACCAAAAATGTCTCCAGACATTGCCCAGTGTCCCTGGGCGGGGTCAAAACTACCCTCAGTTGACAGCCATCCACGTAGAGGATGTGCTATCTGCCTAGGAAAATGGTTGTTTGAATTTCTATGGGGAGAGTGTTGGGGGGGGCAGGGGGAGGGGGAGGAACGCCCACTGAAAGATAAACTGTACATATCAAGCAAGCAGAACTATTTCTAACCTGAGTGGGGTCTTCCAGGATGCTTTGTGGCTTTTGCAAGATAGCTGTAAGCTGTATTTCAGGGCCCAACTTCCTTTCAGTAAGTTAATAATAGGATAGGAAGAGTCATTAAGACCTAAATGAAACTAGAAGAATCAAATATGACAGCTCAGCTCCCTAGCGGGCAACCTAAGTCCTTTGCATCTAAGAGAAGCTGGGGTATTGCCACTTGAGAAGCTTCCCCCGCCCCCTGTCCCTGCCCTTACCCTCACCTGGCCAGAGGTAGGCGTTCCTGGGAGGACCATGAGGAGGGAGCGCCAGGTTGCGCCCTTCTCTTTTCAAGAGTTTCATCCTTTCCCGAAACAGCAGCTGTTGCTGAGAACTAGCTGCCTGGTAATAGCCTTGTCAATCAGATCCCTGCCTTATCTGCTGCTTGTGTTTCCTGCTCCGTAAAAATAATCTGGTAACAAATACGGAACATTTAAAAAAGGAAAGGCAAATCACTTCAGGAAGAATGAGTTTATGATTTTTCTCCCTCACACGCACAAGGTGCGCTCCCAGCCTGCTAGTAAGGCAAGCGGGCTACAACCTGTGTTGCTATGAGATTAACTGCAGGCTGTGAACACACATGTTCACATTCCCTGCTTCTTCCACAGGCCGGCTTAACAAGAAATAGACAGGCTTGTTCATTCACTTCTGGAAGACCTCAGTCTACACCAGGAGCCAGCAAACTTTCTCTATAAACGGCTTCTATAAAGATAGTAAGTAAACAGTTGAAGCTTTGCAGGTCGTGTGGTCTCTACTGCAATGACTCAACTCTTGTCAAAGGAAAGCAGAACCGACTGCAGGAGAGATGTCACTGAGTGGACGTGGCTTTGTTCAGGTAAACTTTATTTACAGAAACAGGCTCTGGGCCACACCTGGTCTGCAAAAACCAGAGGATGGGTTCTGGGGCTGTGTGTGAGCACAGGGTACATGTCTGGGGGGCCAGGGGCTGGGGGGAGAGGACCACAGACTCAAATTCCTTCTGGGGCCACATAGGGAACACAGATGAATGAAAACAGTCCTAGTTCTGGCCTGTATTCTCCTGCATTTGATAAAAGCACAAGGACTGCAAAATAAAGAAAGACTGCTTAGCCCTGGAGTGTGAGGATGATGCTGATGCTCAGCCCAGTGCTGGCGAGACGGCGGGAGGGGCAGAGCACGTGCCCGTCTTCAGGGCTCTCAGCTCCAGTGATCAAGGCCGCCAGGCAGACACACACACCAGGGGCAGGCAATCCTGCTGTCTGTCCCCTGACCTGTCTCAGCTTTTAATACACTGCCCCCACCCAACAAGGAACTTCTGTGAAATGTCCCAGTTTTTAAGACAATGCATGGGCCCAGCAAAATAAGTCCTGGCCCACCTCTTTATAATATGTATACCCCTGTACTCAGAGGAGACAAGAGGGGCCCTGTGACTTCTGTGCCATATTCCATCAAAGGTACACCTAAGGCCATTTTGCACAAATCTGTTAGCAGATTATTGTTCGATCCTTTAATGAGAAAGAAAAGGAAAGAAAAGAAAAGAAGTAAAGAAAAGAGGGATGGAGGGAGGGAGGGGAGGGGAGGGGAAGGGGAACCTCCCAAAAGGACTCAAACTCAAAGTGTCCCAAAAACTACAGATTAGATTGGTATTTTACAGTAAAGGGCCAATGTCACTTGGGACAAGGTATTTCTTGCCGTATCTACCTTAGGACATTTAGCAACCTGACCCTCCTCCTCCTCACAATGCCAGAAGCAGCCTTCCAGGCTTTGGGATGTCCCCCACTGGCAGTCCCAAGAAAAAAGCACCGATATGTTTTCAAACCTTTCCTAAGAGGTAAAATCACTAGACAAACAGGTTGTAAAAAATTAATTATAGGACTTCCCTGGTGGCGCAGTGGTTAAGAATCCGCCTGCCGGACTTCCCTGGTGGCGCAGTGGTTGAGAGTCCACC